CCCCCACACACACACAAACACACGGACAGACACAAACACACATGCACATTCACGCACACATACACAAAATAGAGAGGATGCATATCAGTACTCAAAGTACGTCCAACATAGTTAAACACAGTAGCCTATAAATAACCCTAACACTTGACATATTATTTCAAAGAAGAAACCCAATAATAAAGTATGATAATGTACATCTTAATCTTATATCACCGTAATGTGACATCTGTCCACTAGAACTAAAACCAACTCGCAATTCGAAACCTTAGAATTACAAAAAGCTTTATCTGACATTTTTTGGTCGTTTTAAGTTAGCACAAACATGAAGTCAGAAACCTAATGTACATTCTGCTCTATCAAAAACCGTACGATTATTCGGAGACATTATCAATAAATTCAAAGAATTGGATTCGAAAAAAGCTTGACATGTAGCCTAGTTCAACTCAAAATTTTTAAACTTCGAATTTCTTAAAACTAGATACTAAACAGACATAACTGTGTAATTGCAGGTTAGCAAACAGTCTCTTACCTTCTGGTAATTGAGCAAAGCCAGAGACGTTTCCGCCGCATCCTGGGTCTCAATGAACAGAAGCTTGTGCTTCAGAATCTGGTCAATGATGCCCTGTGGACAAAGCAAGAGTCCAGTTACGTTGTTAAAAATTGTCTCATTTCACCAACCACTTTTCCCCCCCTATAATTACATGTATAAGTCAATAGGTTCCAGGCACTTGCAACATAAAAGGTTCATATAAATGCCGAAAATTAGAGATGTTTCTAGAGAGAAACATACATGTACAAAGAAAAGGAGGAGGAGACATGGTTTCAATAAGAGTTTTATACCCCTTCGCAGCACAAAAAGGTCACATCAGTGTCGCAGATTAGAGGTGTTACGAAAGAGTAACATATAAAGAAGAGGAGGAGATATAAGGACTAGTTTTTGATAGGAAAGAAGGAACAAACCATTTTTTTGGTAGAGGGTTTTACGGCGCTCGCAACTGCATAAGGTCATAACATGAGCGCCAAGGGGTTAGTGTCAACAGAGAAGTCTTTACAGGGAATCAGACTTACTCTGCTCACTCCTCTAGCTTCAACAGCATTAAGTCTGCTTCGACTATCAAGGCACCCCAGAAATAGCGGGCCACAAGAGTGTGACAAATATACAAAAGAAGTAGAGGAAAATGACTATAATATGGATTAGGAAAGAAAAAGCAGCAGTTCCCTGTTGTAGATCAGGTGCAGTTATGAGCGTGACATGATGAATCAGCCCATTTACAATTCTACTGTGCTTGAACGAGAAATGCCCCCCCCCCCCTTTGGGAAATGGCCTAAAGACTCTAAAGTCAGTGGCACTGTCCTGGGGGGTTGGAACAAACCATACCAGAAAAGCGCCCGTCAACCATCCACTTTCTCTATTAGTAAAAGACAAGCACACCGACGTTACGGTGGTGATAATCTGGTGTCTTGTTTGTTTGGTAAGGGTTATACGGTGCTCGCAACTGCATAAGGTTATATGAGCGCGTGGGACACGTTAAACATTTTCAGTTTTGGAAGGAATCAATTAATTTTTAATTTTGCCCGGGTGACGACCAAAGCTTACTCTGTTTGGGTTTGGACCACCGAGGGATCTATTACACACACGGCTTGCACACTGGACCTCCGAGATTTGTCGCCCTCATCCAAGAAAGCTAGGTGTTAGATCTTACCATCTTACCCTGAGATCAGGGCGTGACTGAAAGGCTGCAATAAGAAGGAGCCAAGGAGTAGCAATAGAAAGGCTGCCCAGAGGAGGGGGCAAGTGGGAGGGGGAGGGGACAGAAAGTGGAGGCGAAAGCAAATGACAGAACATGATTAGAGAGCAGGAAATGTAGTGAAAGGGGAACATAATTTTAATGAAGACAGTTTTCCGTCCTTGTCAGGTTTCGCACCCGGGGTATAGAATGAAAGGCGACCACCGTAACCTCTACATCCCGAGAGC